AAAAGTGATAAAAATGGCGGCACCCATATGCGTTACCATAAAATCGGATGCGTAGTTGTCTAAGCGCATTCTATGTCTCTTTCACATATCTCTGCGACAGACGCACCCGAACATTACAGCAGACCAAACTGATTAGGTTTTTGATGTGAAGGCGTTGGTCTAATATTTGAACGAGAATAGGATACGGAAGACGCGTCACGTTTTGGCAAATTTCGTTACACGAGAGAAAAGAAAGATGTAACGTAGAGAGTAGAGAGACGGAGAAAGACCGCCAATTCCAAATTACAGCCGACGAACGATTGAAACAAATCAAGGATTAAAATCAATGAACTTATAATCAAAGAGGATTGCCTATTATTGTCAAGCACCCATACCCTTGTGACGTCACTACAGATACGCGTCTCCTTTTTGTGTAGTCCTTCCAATCCTTCCTTCGTCATTACCATGACTCATACGCTAAGTCTTATAGTCTAAAAATTGAATTCCATTCCAACGCTCTCAATTCTGTACTTTAGAGAAGAATGGGGCGGCGAAAATTGTCTCGGCAGACAGGCGGCCAACACCCTAGCGTCGGCCCTGGCAGGTATAGTGTGCACTCTTAGTAACAGATCGTCATATATATCTGCTAGAATTTCCAACACGATCTCTGGCACACATTATTTGACTGGCTCGATAGGAACGATTTCTGGCCTCGGATCCTTTCCATTTTTCATATCTTGTACATTTTTGTTCTCACCGGTTTCGCCGTTATGGCTTCTACATGATTTACTTCATCTTCCCCAATCTCCTCAATCTGTACCTTGAATTATTGTTCTTTTTCCTCTGTCAGCAGCTTCTTGTAGTTTTCATTCAATTCTTCCATAGATAAATCGCTGTGTCATTGCTACCTTTCCTCACGTTTTCTATAGCTTTCCATGCTGCTCTCACCCTTGAATCTCCCAAATATCTGCCCATCTCTTCGCATCGCTTCTCCTATGTTTCATTTTTCTACCTTGCCACCTCTTTCTTAACGCCCCTATTCAGTTGTGTCTAGATATTCTTCCATCTTCTGGATTTGCCGAATTTAACCACTTCTGGTAAGCTACATTTTTCGCTTTTGTTAGTCTTTCTAGGTCCTCTTACTTCTGACCACCATTCAGGGTTGCGTCTGTTCATTTGATCTTGAATTTCGAAGCGCTTCTTTTGCTGCCGCATGAATTTTTCTTGTAATTTCTTCAAACTTTTCTGCTGCTGCGTCAAGTCCACAACCCGAATATTCCCGGAGATGTGCTGCTAGTCGTAATTTATACAAGATTTTTTTAGACTTATCTTCAAAGCGATCGAGATTATAATTTACTGTGTCTAATTTGGATATACAGTGTCATTACTTAAGTGTGCAACATATGGGATTTTTTTTTAGTAACAGCACAATCAAAATACAAACAAGGCCAAAAGTTGGCGCATGTTTGATAATCATAGTAGGTGTACTTAGAAAGGTTGCAAGTCAAACAGTATACAGTTTAGCTCAAAAAATATCAAAATTGTAGTAATATTTACTTAAATAAAATAAAACTTTTGCACTTTGAGGAGAATTTTTTTAATATGGCTTTTATCATTATTAATGTTTTAACTTGTTAAAAAAAAAATTCCGACATTTTAAAGTTGTGTTGAATATCATTGCAACAAACATGAATTTTGTGATTCCCTAAGAAATTAAAAATCTAAGTTAATTTTACAAATATTGTTGAATTTGAACAAAGTTATGTAAAATTGATTTGATTTTAATTAATTTTTGAAAGTATTAAGGGCGAAAATGAAAATTTTAAAAAATAAAGAAATTATAAAATCTGTTTTTTTTTAAAGATAAAAGTCAAAATGACATTATGTTAGCAATACAATGTGAAATTGTCAATGCTTTCAATTTTTTTATGTAGAAAAGGCTTGTGTTGCCAACAAAGTTACTAAATTTTTGACTTGGGGAATTATCTTTAAAAAAAAAAATAGATGGGAAAATAAAAAAAATCTTAGGAGGCTATGTTTTGGTATTTAGGCATAACTTTTAATTCCAAACAACTTTTTTCTATAACATTTTGCTGAATTTTCTAAAATAAGGGTAGGTACTTTGCAATACAGCTTTGATATTGTTTGAGCTACCCTGTATGCTGTTTGACTTGCAACCATTCTAAGTGCACCTAATATGATTATCAGACATGCATCAACTTTTGGCCTTGTTTGTATTTGGGTTGTGCTATTACTAAAAAAAATCTCCATATGTTGCACACTTAACAATGTCAATGCCTATTTTTTTTCTAATAATGTACTAGAATGTCATATTAAATTATCAAGACCACTGATAGCTAAAAATAACGAAATGAATCGACACGCGTTATTTGAAAATAGGTTTGTTCGGAATTAGTTCAGAATTAGGCAATCTCAATCACGTGATTTTATAATGGCCGTTCAGGTCAAATATTGCGGTGACAAGCCGGTGACGTTCATGAGGAGAGCATTTGTGCACAGAACCATTTGTGTTCTGGCCCTTGTTGCTTTCGAAGTGAATTTTATGTGTTTCTACGTATTTTTCATTGGTTTTGGTCATATTGTGGTTTTCATAGTGAATTCTATAGTGTTTAGTATTTCTACGTATTTTTTAGTGTTCTGGCCCTTGTTGTTTTCAAAGTGAATTTTATAATGTTTATAGTGTTTCTACGTATTTTCTAATTTAATAAGAAATTCTGAGATGGAGAGTGAATATCTTAAGGAAAGCCTCTGTTAGATCCTTTCTTTTAATTGCAGCAATCCATAAAGCCCTGCGTTGTTTTGATAATTCATTTTTGTAGATCAAAAGCCGATGATTTTAGCAGTAACTGAATAAAATTTCACATTGTCCCTGTTACCTCGACTTCCAGATCCAATTACGATGCAAATCGCTGGCATTTTAATAAACACAATACCTAAACACACAAAATCCGATAATTCAAATCCTGGACGTTTGTCACAGTTTGTGACAGAATCAATGACATATAGAATAAACAACACAGCTTAACCACGATTCTTGAGCTTAACCCAATGCTTGACCCGAACTTCCATATTGAATTTCGTTTTTGACAAGTCAGTAGATTGCCTAATTAGTTCTGAATTGAACTGCGCATGCGCATTTGTTTATTTATGTTCGATACGAGCAAATGCGCAAGCGCAGTTCATTTCAGAACTGATTCTGAACTAAGTCCGAACAAACCTAATGTTTACATAAATCATAAAACGTCACGCGCCGTTGCCAACCAGAAACATCTGAAGTTCCACTACTTTGCGTTAAAAAGTACTTTTAGTTTTGTTAGGTTGACAGCAGAAATTTACTTAATGTTACGTCATCCTAAATATAGCGTAAAAATCCTATACTTGTATTTTCCTTGATCACTCGATTTACGTTTTCCTGAAATTAACCACTGCTTGTGCTATATATGCCAGATGATGGTCCGATTCGCATTCCGTGCTACGATACGCCCTTACGTCATTTATTTTTATTCTGGAGAGCTGTCTTTTAATTACGTCGTCTATGATTGGCCATATTCCGTTGGTAGGCTGTATCCAGGTAAATTTATGGATATCCTTAGGGTGATAAAATCCGTTCAATATATTCCGTGAGAAGCTTTCGGCTTTCACATAGGCTTATCAGCCATTGTCCATTCCCATTCCTTGCTTCTTCTCCATAATGTCCTAATCAGAGCTGGGATTCTGTAACGAATAGAGATATTTTCGCTTCGCTATCTCTATTGACGTCCACTCTCTATTAATTTCGAAAAAAGAGAAGAAGAAAACAAGTGCTATAGTGATAGGGATAACGATCTCTATCCGTTACAGAATTTCGCCTCAGGTCTTTGATTTATTTTCTAGTTCTCTCATTTAGTTCACCGAGTATCATTATTTCCTTATTTGAATTTATTCCTGCTAAAGCCTGTCCCATACTTTCATATAGAGTTTATCTTTTCCCCTTTCTTCAGCGTCATTACCTACTTGAAGCATACACCCCAATGATCACACTATTTTCTCCGTTTATTTTCTCCATGTCTAGGGTAATAATTTCTTCATCGACACTCCTCGCTTAGCCCTCTGACTTTTTTCCACTCCGCTGTAAAAATGTAAGAAATCTCCCACTTCCACATTTTCATTTCTTTTTTTTTTCGATTCGAAACATGCAGCAGGTCTGTCATATCCTAATTTCTCGATAACAATATGGTTGCTGGCCCCTGAATCTACCACAAAATTCAACCTGCTTCTACATCATTGCATAGGTTATCAGCGTATTATTGTATTACTGAGTCATCACCTTTACTGCATTTGCCTGTTGTTGCTTCTGGTAATCTTTATCTCTATTATATCTTGATCCTTGTCCTCTACCTCTAAACCTGTTGTTATTCTTTATCTCGTGGTGCATGTTTATAGTTATTCAACTGTCTCCATGAAACACGTTTTGTAAACGAACTTGAACGAGCAAATACTGCTTGGAGAGCATCTATCTGGGCTTTTGCGTTCTTGCATTCCTTAATCAGATCCAAATGTTTTTATCAGAAAATCCTTTGATGGATTATGCTTTTGCATCCGTTTTTTCCCATGCTGTCTTTTCTGCCTGGCTTGCGGTTTCCATGAGCTCAGTAACCTCAAAACCCTTGATAACCTGATAAAAGGTATGGCTATTTTGATGAGAAATAACTTAAAACACTAGTTTTTATTTTCCATTTTAACACAAAATAACCCGGTGGCACATATAAAAAGTTGACAAGAACTAAATACATGACAGTCTTCATTTAAAAACCATACTAAAATAACCACTCCGTCTTCTATAGCTAAACAAACCTAACAGTACAGAAATTTAAGTTGTCCAAATCTGTTCAACCATAGAACAGAAACTGGACAGGAATATAATATACTCGCAAATAAATAAAGTCCTATATATACCTACTATATTCCCAAAATGTGTTTGAAATTAACTTGTATACTAAGTATCTTTTATTTTGATACAGGAAAAGTTTTCAGTCGACATCAGAAAAGACATCGCAACTGTGGAAAATATATTTGGTTTTTACGCTCCACCAATCCAACAGAGGGAGTTCGTCGGGCCAATTCAAAGCTACGCACAGGTCAAAGAGCACTTCTCCAACACCGATCCGGTATTGATAAAAATTACTAAAAATAAAATAATCCTAGAAAATGTTGACGTAAATGTCACACCGACCAATGCGATTGACGATGATTTTCCTGAAGAAAGCTGGGAAGTGACCGAGGGATATGATATTTTGAAATTGTTAAATCCTCAACCGTTAGTATTTTTAGGCTTTAATGGAAAGGAATTCCGAAAGGGTTCTTCCAGATTCATTTGAAATATTTATCTATTTCCTATAAATAATACATATTTTCGGTCTAAATGGAATCTACTCTACCTAACACAGTTTATATTTTCGAGACTCGAGACATATGCATGATTCAACCTTTAATGAGAAAATAATTCTGCTTATTTGATATTATTATTTGCCGTATGCAACATCCTCTTTTAACTTGAAAGCGCTTTTTAAAGCTAGTCACTTTAAGAAAACTGTATTCTAAGCAATACAAATTTTTAAAAGCGACTAGTTTTAAAAATCGCTTTCATGTTAAAAGACGATTTTGCATACAGCTTCTTTAATTAAATTTTAGGCGCATTCCGACAAAAGTTAGTGCGCATACTGATTTAAGGCACCTCGCGGGATTAGTTTCTGATCCCAACCATGAAGTATTCGGTACTGATACGATGTGCAGCGAATTTTTGAGTCCCGAATCTGCTGCCAAAGGGATAGTCAAAGATACAATTCTAAGTGCAACGTGTAAGTATACAGGGTGTCCCACGGTGGATGGCGTATTAGATGTTTATGGAGAACTAAAAAGCGGATCATTTTAAAAATTTGGCAACCGAGATAAACGACCATGATCTACACTTTAAAAATATTTTTGTTTATGCGGTGTTGCCGCTTCTACTCTAAGCCAGTGGCAACATCGCTATTTTAGATAGAACACCCTGTATGTGATTGCATATTTGGATTCTACGTAAAATTCTGAGCAGATATAATGTGATATACCCTATACCTAAGTTCAACTGTTTTGGAAATATTGACAGTTGAAAATTGCTTTTTTGCAACTTTGACAGGCTGTAAAACCAGAACGGTTGATTTTAGAGAAAAACCGATTTTACATTGCCGTCTTAGATTTTCATGAACTATCATTTGACACCAACTTTGAATTAAACCGGAAATTAAATTTAATTGGAATTTTCAATCATGGATTAAATTCAAAGTTGGTGTCAAATGATAGTTTACAAAAATCTAAGATAGGAATGTAAAATCGGTTTTTCTCTAAAATTAACCATTCAGGTTTGACAGCCTGTCAAAGTTGCAAAAAGTCAATTTTCAACTGTCAATATATCCAAAACAGTTGAAGTTAGGTATAGGGTATATGACATGAAATCTGCTCAGAACTTTACGTAGAATCCATATATACAATCAAATACAGGGTGTTCCATTTAAAATAGCGATGTTGCCACTGGTTTAGAGTAGAAGCGGCAACACCGCATCAACAAAAATATTTTTAAAGTGTAGAATATGGTCGTTTATCCCGGTTGCCAAATTTTCAAAATGATCCGCGTTTTAGTTTTCCATTAACGTCTAATACGCCATCCACTGTGGGACACCCTCTATAACAGACACAATTCGATGAAGCATTAAAAATCGATTTAAATTAATATAGGTGAAATGAAAAGGAGAATTTTAGAGTATGGTAGTCATAAACCGTCCTATAAAGACATTCTTCAACATCAGAAATTATATTCGTACTGGCCATCGATAAGAGATTTCAAAAAAGAGCAGGGCAAAGTGTATATAAAAACTTATATTGATAACCGGAATCACTTTTTTGAAGATTGGAAATACAACATTTTTTTTTGTTGTCAACACTCCGACAGTTTGAGCCATCATTATATTTACGAAGTAAGTAATCAAAATACTTCATATCTATACAGGGTGTCCCACCGGGAACCAAATCGATCCATTATGCAGAACATTTTTGAAAATTTGACAGTCTGTGTTTGACATGGGGGCAACCCGTCTAAAATATTTTCAAGATGTTGGCATTTCCGGTTATACCGGCAGTAGTCGTCAACTTGCTCATTTTAAATGAGACATTCTGAATGTGATTGTATATTTGGATTCTACGTAAAATTCTGAGGAGATTTCATGTGATATGCCCTATATCTAAGTTAAACTGTTTTGGGAAATATTGTCAGTTGAAAATTGACTTTTTTGCAACTTTGACAGGCTGTAAAACCTAAACGGTTAATTTTAGAGCAAAACCGATCTGACGGGTTTGTTCATTAAGATAGAACGGTTAGAATTTTTTTTCAAAATTCTCTGAAAAACGAAATGAAAAACAAATAGCACCTACGTTGTGGAAATCTACTCAATTTTACTTACTGGACATGCGCCCGACAATAGCAAAATTGGGGAAGTTGTGATATGAAAAATGAACAAAAAATGTATGAAACGTCTACTTTATTATTGAAGTACCGTACCGTTCTCGACCTGGAACTAATGAGGGGAAAGAGCACGTCAGGGAAACCCTAGATCTAACATTCCTCAAAAATCAAAACATACTGTGTCATTTGAATAAATATTGAGTCAATAAAAGTTCAAATTAGGCATCGTCCTTTGTCCTTGTGCTAAAACTTTAATGCCACACACCACATTTAATCAACACTACCTATATTCAATACAGAAGTTTTGAATTAGTTAGCCAGTTCCACCAGCAGGTACTGAGGTCCCTGGTTACGGGAGATTACTTAGCTATAATTGTTTTTTTGAGCCAATATCACTAGATCGATTTTCCAATTTGTTTGCCAGGATATTCGCTCGTCAGGGTAGGAAAGTGTTAGTAGACTCAACAAGGCCCTAATGTACGCTCTGAATACCAAAAATCAAATTCTCAGCACAAAAGACAGCACATAATTTCTTTACATTTTTAATTTACTCTCTATCTGCGTTGTTTACAGCTTGAAACGATTTTTGGTAAATACACGAGCAGCACATGTTATAAAAAAATGTTATAAACAAACAAAAAAACCTAAAAATGAAAAAATAATAGTTGTATAAATTGAACTCGCAAAAAAAAAACATTTTTCAACTGACCTGTGAATGCTCCTTATGACACACAAACTAATCACAAATTGGATTAAACAACCAGTTTAATACAAAATAAAAATTGAATAATGAACAATGGCGGACAACCTTTTTCTTGGTCTTTCATTTTCTCTCTACCTACCCTTCGGTACTTTTTTTGTGTGGCGCGTTTACGCTCACCCCTACTCGACAGCGCATACCATACATGGTTGCAACCTTTACCAATTGTTTTTCTTTGGTAAACGTTTTTAAGAATTTATTATTTGCAGAAATAATACTTTGAATATGTGAATTTCCTCACAGTTTTTTAGATATAGATCGATTTGGCTTCCGGTGGAACACCCTGTAGAATTGGTGGGCTATGCCTAGAATCCCAATTCTATTTTCCATATTATGTATATTCCTTTAAAATATTTTCTTGGCTGGTAACTTCTAGAAACCAAATATCGGGTTTTAGGTGATATTTGGTCTACCAACAAAAATGTATCCGATACCTCAAGTTACAGCCAGCCTATTCTTTTTTATGGAAGCCAGTAGAGTACTGCCCAGCCAATGTCCCATTGAGGTTTGTTCACTACCTACTTTTATACAATTCACGAATTCATTTCAATTATTTTAATATTTGTTTAAGGTTACTATAAGCCTAGAAACGTCTCGCCGCCGGATGGATCCTCGAAAATTTTTTCTCAGGGATAATATTTTACTAAAAATATTAGATGAAAAAATAACGAATTTCAAAACTATTAATTTTTAAGTTTCTTGTATAATATGTACTTACTAGATGAAATTAAATAATATCTAATAAAAAATTTCAAAAATATTAGCGCAAAGAACTTTTTCTGTACTTATTTGTTTCAACGACATGGAAGATGTAAAATAAAAAGGGATGCCTTGATGGAGGGTGATAATCTGCTTTGCATACTTTCCATGTAACTCAGAAGGGCAGTTCAGACGACAACCCAAGAGGAATATTTGATAAATAAGAACTTAATAATATATTATACAAATCAGGGAATTGAACCGACTTTCGTTATCAACAAAAAGTCACTGATATTACCTTGGTCACACACCTCGCATGGTAAACGAGGTTACAAACTGGCGAGTGTCAGATGAACCCTCTGTATATGATCAGAGATATATTGAATTTGAATTGTGCGATTTTGAGAAGGTAGTAACGACTTATCGAAACCCGCGCAAAACCAACTAGGAATCATACAGGAGTCAACTGAAGTACAGTCTGAGTTCTGTGAAAACCAACATACAACGAGCCATATACATTGATCTGTCAGTGGATCAGCTCAGGAGGCGATCATCACAGCGTTCGAAGATAACTGCACTTCCAAGGTCAAGGAACAAGGAAGGGAAGTCTCCTGGTGGAACGGTAACTTGGGCTACCTAAGAATGAAAGCAAGGAAACTCTTTAATAAGGCAAATATAACGGGAGACTGGGCACAATAGACTCAAGCCCTCACTATTTACAAGAAAGCCTTAAGAAAAGCCAAGCGAGACTCATGTAAGAACTTCTGTCAAGAGGTTGAAAACACTTCGCAAGCGGCACGCCTTCATAGAATACTCGCAAAGGACACGTGTAACATTATCGACGGGAGAGCATACGACTTCTGGAAAAGGAACTCTGGAGTTGTTGCTCCAAACACACTTTCCAGATTCAAGAATCAGTCAGCAGGACGAACAACTGCCATCTGAACATGTACATAGGCCTAGGAAAGCCGACTGGGTAGTTGCGACCAAAGCAGTCACCAATGAGAAGATCAAAAGGGTCATCGGCACATTTGAACATTTTAAATTTCCGGGACAGATGGGGTTTTCCGGGCTCTGTTGCAGCATTCTTTGGAACTGCTAATTCCAAGCGTCTGAAAAGTATACCGATCGTGCGTTGCGTGGAGTGACGTGCCATGAGCATGAAGGACGGTGAGCGCGGTGACTCTTTATTCCAAAACCTAGACGCGCAAACTACACAGAAGCAAAGGTTCAATCAGCCTAACATCTTATTTTCTAAAAACGCCGGACAAAAAATAATTGATAGGCACATTAGAGACGCAAGAGTGTAAGAGCTCATAGAGAAGCCCCTCCACGGACACCAACTCGCCTGTCAAGCAGGCAAGTCGTGCGAAACAGCACTGCACAGTCTCATTTCCAGGGCTGAGAGATCCATTCATCTCAAACAGATCACTCTGTGTGCATTTATCGACATTCAAGGGGCCTTTGAGAACGCCTCTTTTGCTGCGATGATCAAAGCGGCTGAAAGATATGGAATTCACGACACGACTTGTATAGTCCTCCAAAGCCGACAGATTCAAACCACTCCATACGGAGCGACCTTGGAGGTATCTGCAACTCGACTCGAGGTTGTTGTAACAAAATCAATAACAAATTCATATTCTCGGTTTAAGCTCATCTTTGGTGGGAAAAGTGTTATTTTTATAGATACCTAGTTAAAATGTGACCCTAATGAAATTTACAAACTCATGGAGTTCTGCGAACGACCTAATCTGTTCGAGGGTAAAAATCACTTGAAAGCCAGAAAAGTATCGAATTTTGTAGCTTCAAGATTATTATTGCTGTAACCCAAAATTGACAAATAGGCAAAATTTATGTTTTCCTAGATAAACACTAAACTTTAAACTAATCTGTCGACTGAACCAGATCCCATGTGATTGTAATAATTTATTCAAAGTCAAGGATAATCTTCTGAATACCCACGTTTTATGACGAACCCAGATATCAGGTAACTGATACCGTTGGAAAGAATTATGTATATTCGAAGCATGTGTGTGTGTAGCGAAACAATATTTACATGAGCTGGATTTTTAAAATACAATAACAAATTGTATAACAATATAATTATCAAGGGTTATTACTTATGAAATGTTAACTGTAAGATAGTCAAATGCTTAGTTACAATTAAGATATAGGTAGCTTAGGATAGGAGTGATAACTTAATTATTTTATTCAATTGATTAGGTTAGAAGTTAGGGAACTTTTATTTTATTTAATCGACTAGGTTAGAAATTAAGAAATAAGAATAAAAAGCATAATAGGTAGGTAATTAGAAAAGGGGAAGGTTTTCAATTAAAAGGGAAAACATTGAATGTTCAATTAAGAATTTGACCACATGTAACTAGCGAACTCTGTTGGAGAGTCATCAAACTGGATCACAGGGTGGAGCAGCTTGAATAAGGAAAGTCGAATAAATTTGAGAACCAATGAAAAATCAACAAGAAACCAGAGGGTACTTTCAGCGAATCGCTGAAAGCTAAGAGGGTTGGAGATCTTTGACTTGGTCGATTCTCGCAAGAGTCGCAAGCCCGGTACTAAGGGGTAGCCAATGGGCTTCTAAAGTAATACCCAGAGGGTGGTTCCTTTCGCTTATTTAAGCAGATGTTGAGGCCAGTTAACTTTAGTTATCGCCAATTCGCCACTAGTTTTTACTACTAGTTATCGCCGGAAATTTAAGTCGCAAAGTCCCAACGAGTTCTCGATGTTATCCTCTAGTTCATCTCCGCTCGGTGTTTTAGTAAAAGCTCTCCAAAGAGGTGATAGTTTATTTTTAATATCAATTCCAATAAAGTGTCAGATTTGGAACAAAATATTTCAGTTGGGAAATTGAGGGGTTTCCGGGAAAAACAACATTGGTCACTTTTTGTTGAAATTGAGTTGGCAACGCTGTTGCGTTCTACATGTTTCAATGCTGCTCTCCGATGTTCAAGTTTCCCGTAAAAAGCACATATCTCCGTGTAAAATGTGTTTAAAGAATCGTCGGTTCCATAAGAATGACATTAGTCAACATATGAATTCCTAAAAAACAACATTTGTCACGACTTTTTTGTACTTTTTTTTATTCATAAATCCGAAATATACCTTAAAATATATAAGATGCCTCCTTACTTGCCCTTAAAACTAAAAAAATGCATTTCATAGCCGAATAAGCAACAAAATCAGTTTTTGTTAATTTGCCCATTTTTTTATTTTTGACAAATGTTGTTTTTCCCAGAAACCCCTCAATTACTCTCTTCTCTTCCAATTGTCTTTAATTTCTTTCTTTTCTTTTCACTCATAGATAAATTAATTATCTTTCAAAATAAGTCTTCTCTTTTCTGGTTTTAAAATTCCCATTAAAACACTGGTGGTGGCATAGAAAGATCTTACGTGCCGGTTTGTGCGGTTAAAGGTGTTTTCAGCTTCAGTAGAAAAGTGGTAAGTGGTACTAATTTTGAGTCTCTAATAACACTTTTCAATAACCACTTCAAGAAGAGAAGAAAGAAGATTTCGTTCAGATTGCCTCCGGTTCAGAAAACTGATATTAATTTACTGCGTCAGATCAAATTTACTTTTCAGCATAATTCACCACGAAATTTTAAGATGTGGCAGAATTATTCAAGCTACCAAAATATCAATTCCATACCATCTCAATTTTGTCACATTGTCCACAAAGGGGAATACTATATCATCCCTCCTATGGAATTTGGTAGTTGACGACTTACTACAGCATCTCAACTCGAAGAGGTTTCACGTCTAAGAGTATGCTAATGACGTGATCATAGCTGTGTTGGGTAGAGATACCAGGTGTACATTAGAACTCATGCAGACAGCACTTAGAAGTCACAGAAGGTGCGAGGAGAATAACCTCGCAAGAAGTACAGAGAAAACACCGATTCTACCATTCACCAAAAAGAGATTAGCGGGAACCTTCAACAACCTGAAGATCTTTGGTGAAAATATAAAAATTGTTGATGAAATGAAACATCTGGGCCTAATTCTAGACGCTAAATTGACATTGAACCAACAAATCGAGAAGATTATAAACAAAGCAAAGATGTTGAGGAAAACCACCTATTTAAAATATTATTAATTTTTTTGAATCTACTAAACTTTTAAAAACAAAGTTAACTAAATAAAAGTAAATGTTGCAACCATGTATGCGACCTCAAGTTTAGGATTGAACGAGCGCGCCACATAAAACGAAGGTAGGTACCGAAAACCTAAAAAATTGAATATTAAATCCAATTTGTTATTAGTGTGTGTGTAAGGAGCGTTCACAGGTTAGTGGATTAAATGTTATTTTGTTTTTGAGAGTTCAATTTATGCAAGTTCCTATTATTTTTTTCATTTTTATGTTTTTTTGTTTGTTTATAATTTTTTTTATAAGATGTGCATTGTTCATGTATTTAACAAAAATCGTTTCATGCTGTTAACAACACCGATAATTGAAAAAACTAGAAAAATTATGTGCTGTCTCTTTGTGCTAGGATTTCGATTTTTGGATTTAGAGAGTGTATTAGGGCCTTGTTGAATTTACTAACATTTTCCTACCCTGACGAGAGAATATCCTAACAAATTGAAATAATCAATCTAGAGATATTGGCTCAAAACAACTATAGCTAAGTAGCTTCCCGTATGGGACCTCAGTATCCGCTGGGAAACTGGCTAACTAACAAAAAAAACTCTTCAGTATTGAATATAGGTAGTGTTGATTGAATCTAGTGTGTGTAATTAAAATTGTAGCACAAGAACAAGCATGGTACCTAATTTAAACTTTTATTGACTTAAATTATTGAATTATTGACTCACAATTATTATTTAAAATGACACAGTATGTTTCGATTTTTGAGGAATGTTAGATCGAGGGTTTCTCTGCCGTTCTCTTTCCCCTCGAGAATTCCAGGTCGAGAACGGTACGATTTACTTTAATAATAAAGCAGACGTTTCACAAATTTTTCGTTTTTTTTACTACAATGTACCTCCTGAGATGTTCTGGCTATACATCACAGTTAACCGTCTACAGGGACTGGCTAGCTTATGCATCTCAGGATCC